AATAAATATAGATCAATTAAGTAAAAGCAGTCCTCAACCTGTCACTGAAATCAGAATGAGATACTAGACAGTTTCACAGGGAGCATGCACATTCCTGAGCAGCCAAGGAGGCAGAAATAAATTAGGTGGAATTGGGATAAAAAACAGCAAATGGTACTACAGGATGAAACAGGGAAGAAAAAGATATTTGGGGGAAAAAAATGTTGCCCTATCTCACTACAGGATCATTTCAATCTGTACATCTTGGAGTGCCATCAAAGGATTCTCAACTAATTTTTCAAAAGAGCAAGTTGACCATTGCTTATTAAGGCTCAAATGTCATAAAGTATATTGAAACAATAATTTAGAAGCTCCACACCATCAGAACATGAAAGCCTCATTCCCTCCTGAGTTATTAGCAAACAAGGGAAGCGAAGATAGAAAGGGAATGAGAAATTATATGAGAAACCAGTGATGTTTTGCCATTAAATTCATTCTTAGCAAGCAGCAGCCTAAAGAAAGGCCATTATCAGGTAGTTGCTGCAGTGGTAAATGATCAGTGTTGAGGTCAGCACTTAAAACAGAATTAAGATCAATCCCTTGCAAACCGTAATAACTAACACTTATTATTTTATTCATCTGCCACAGCACAGCTTTCTTACATGCATTAAAGAATCAATCCAAATGTATTTTCGAGTCTCTGATGATGCCTCTCACCATGTTATTTCATTTCTGCTTGCCTCTTATTTGCTATCTTTAATGAGCCCTGTGTCTTATATGACTCCTGTTTCTGCTGTGACTGAAAGTCTTCTACCATGCACCCCTGAGCTACAGCAATGTCCAGGAAAGAGATAGGATGAAAGTCCCCCTGCCTAAATAACTTCAACTTCACTATCTTCAGTCCTCACAGTCTCTGCTGTCCACAAGACAAGAGAAAGCAAGTTCCAGTGAAAAGGTAAGGAACAAACTGCCCTTCTTTTCTATGGAAAAAGGGCAAATGACACTTAATTGCTGAAACCTAGTAAATTTCCCAATTCAGACAAATCCAGAACAAGTTACAAAATCCCATGCTAAAACTTGTAGTGTTTTCACCTCCCCAAAAGATGAGAGCAGCAATGGAAACTGCATTGCCTACTCACAAAGCAACCTCTTTCACAATCTCTTAACTTGTAAAGTTCTCTGGTTTTCTGACATCCAATACTTCTCAAGCACTTTCTTAGTTATACAGTTAGCAAGTACTCTCGAAACATTTCAGCAGAAGTATACTATAAACTATTTCAAATGTACAAATGTATTTTTAAAAGATTTTAGACCTCAGTGGAAAGTGAAGTGAGAACAGAAAGGGCAATTTTGTTTTCATAGCAACTCATTCCTTACCACTGACAGGAGTGCAGATAAAGATTTAAATGAAGATCACTTGCAGCTTCAGAATTTGTGATGCAGAACTCATTATAGGCAAGCTATAAAAAAACATCTGTTTTTAGTCAATGGTGATCAGCAGTGTGCACTGGACTATTTATTATGTAGAAATCAAGATAAGAAAAGACCTGAATTCACAGTAAGAAAACCAAGCATCATCCAACTTCTGAAAAATTCAGATTACTGAGATTCCTATCTCCCATTTCATTCCTCCTTGGTGTGTTACTCTGTTGGTTCCACTAAGGAATATAACAAACATGAGGCCTACTTAAAATGTGTTGAATGATGGAAAAAAAGAATTCTCCTTCTCAAATTCCTGTCCCACCCAAGCCCCTATTAATTATCAGAAAAAAACCCCAAAGCAATACTTTACAATTACTCAGTATTCCAAGAACATGAAAGAGTTTCAAGGGAACTTCAAAAAACAGTATTCATTCCTCTAACCCTTTCTCGCCTTTTCATCTGCTTCAACCTCTTCAGTCCATAGTTGTCTTTTAATATTTTTGTCAAGTAGTAGGAGGATAAAATTCATACTTTGGGCTATTTCTCTGCTTACAATAAGCCAGTTCCAGAAGAACTGTCATGACCAGCAAGTTCTCAGCTTGTTGTAGCTTGAGAGAGTCATGAACAGAGAAATTAAATCTATATATTTAATGACTGAAAATGTTGCTACAACTCTCACATTCTTGCCTTTATGTCTTTCTGTCTATCTCAATTATAGATCTTAAAGTTCAAGTTCAAGTGGCCCTCTCTTTTGGGCCACTAACCTCTAAAACAAATCAGCACAGAAGAGTGTTTGAAGAGAAAAATCACTGGTGAACATTGCAAAACATTAAAAACCCCTGAGCTTCCACAACACTCCCAAAAACACAAGCTAAGTCACTATTGCCCTTGAAAGTGTGAGATTCTCTAACATCAGTGGGACTATTCAGATGCATAAAGTGGGCAAAACCGAAAACTGAGTCCCAAGCTTGAAGGTGATGTTTTTTTCCACAGTTGTACACAAGGCTATAATTGTATTAACAGACCTGCACCACCTAAGCAGAAACAAATATATGTTCTAGAAAAGAACATGAGAAAAAATATTTGAAAACACAAGAACCACAAACACAATTTTCCAAGATGCTTTCAAATATGGCATTTTCAACTGCCCTCTTATTTCTAAATGTGAATATTTTAAACCAGTAACAAGTTCCTAACTGTGCTCAAATACACCTGGCAATTTACAAACATATGGCTAATGTCTCAGAGCACTAGTCTTCAGTATTTGTATCTTCTAAATCAAAGAGGATAAAAATTATTTTAGAACATCAAACATGACTTTTCTATGTAATAATCCAGGGAATGCAGTGTAACAACAGCAGAAGGAATACTGTCAGTAAAAACTTGTCTATTTTACACTTGCTTTACCAATGAAATATTTTAGAAGCCTGTGTACGATAATATTCCACAGGTACATCATGAAAACTTTATGATCTCTATGAGATAAAATAGTTGGGGAAGAAGAAAGTCCTAAAGTATCACCAGACAAGTCAATATGCTTTCAGTCTTTATAATTCATTACCTTCATTTTGACAATTTATTATAAGTTTTAGAAACTACATTAATCCAGATTTTATTGTATTGACAAACTTGGAAAACCACTTTTCAACTTTTCTGACACCAAGCCGAAATAATGTTCTGTATAGTTTCCAAATGCATATTCTCTAAATAGACGGAAGATAAAACTGAATCTAAAGCAAAATCATCACAAGACTTTCACGAATTTCTTATTAGCTTTTCCAAAACAAGTCACCAATATAAATACAAATACTGCAAGCTGCACATCAGATGAGCTTGTCAGTCTCTCCTCCATGCAGGGAATTCAGCTTCACAGCTGAGCCATGTACACTAAAGCATGGATTCTCTTAAGTACCTAGGGCAAAATCCCTTTTTGTTTGTTTTGCATGACTGACGCAGGTTAACAATTATTTCAAACACTACTCTTCTGAAAAGGTCTTTATAATCTGTAATGAGAACTAAGGGAGTAAGCTCTCAGGACTTGGTTTCCCTTTCACCTATAAGGTATTAATGAAACAATATTTATCCTATTCCTATAGGATGGCAAACACACAACTGTTATGTCACTGTCTGCTCTGTTAATGAGAGTGAAGACTCAAATTTTACCATCAAATTTTACCATCAAATATGAATAGTCTTGAACTATTAATACAGAAGGTATTAAATTAAATTAGTAGTATACTAATTGAGGCAGTATTACAAGTTCATTCCATATCACATTTTACCTCAATCATACTATCTTCTATTCTGCTTTGAAAACACACATTTAAGGTCTAAAACTGAACAAAAACATATCCACTATCTCTAGAGACAGTAAAGACAGAAGTTTTATACTGCCTGTAGAAAAAAAAATCACCCAAGAATGCCAGGTGTAATAAATAACATTGTCCTGTATACCTTATCACCTCACTGATATTTGCAGGGTAATTAACAAGTTGTGAAGTACAGAGGAATTTAAGCATGAAGTTTGCCGCCACTGGAATGTGCTGTTATAGCAAGTAAGACTGAGCAGCAGGCCTTACACAGCACATGATGCTCGTCAAAACTTTCCCCTGCAACTTGCAGCCAGCAAGCTTCGCCACAACCACCTTTTCTAAGTCGACCTGAGAAATATAAACCAAGGCCTTCATTTATAATTCAGTGCTGCTTGTTTCATAAATTGATAGTGTCTTTTAGAAGTTGGTTTGCTTTTGTTTTTTTACCTAGTAAGACTGTACTGTTTCCAATTGCAACACCGTATTTCATAATATGCACAAAGTTTTGGGGTTTAATTACTTTTCAGCACCACTTCGGACAAAAGATACGGTTTGCACTAGGTATCCTGCGCGCCTGTGATCCAGCTATTAAAAACAGTCATTGAAGCCGAGGCACAGAGCCAGCATCCGTGTCCAGCCGGCAGAGCTGCCCCGGGCACTCCGGGACGAGCAGCCTTCGCGCAGGCTGCTTCACTGGCTGAAGCACTTGCACAGGCTGAGTCTTGCAGAGCTCAGCCCCGGCAGGGGCAGCGAACACGGCGAGCTGCGGCCGGCGGGGGCTGAGCGGATTTGGGCTCGCTGAGGCCTAGCGAGCACGCGAGGCCTCCGGCAGCCCCGGCTCCTTCCCCGGCAGCCCCGCACACCGCTCCGGGGAGCGGGGGCATACGGGAGGGCCCCGCGCCCGGGATGCTCCGCCAGCCAGGAGGGGGGAGGCGGCCCCGCTCCGCAGCGCCCGGGGGAGAGGGAGGGCGAGGAGCCAGCGCCTCCGGTTTGGGAGGAACTCGCAAACTTTGGTACCTGTCGGGAACTCCCCAAATGCCAGCAACCCCCGGCCGCTCCCAGAGGAACTCTACCGGCTTCTCCCTCCCTACCCGCCCCAACACCAATTCACTCCACAGGCTTAGAAACAAGCCTGTGCCCGTGCCTGCGGGAAGGAGGGCACGGTGTGCCCGGCTGCAAGCAAGGGCTTCTCCTGCCCCCCCGCTCCCCGTCCCGAGAGGGGATCCTCTGGCGCGCTCCGAGCCCACCGCCCGCCCGGGCCTCGCCGCCTCCCTGCCCGCGCTCCACCTGTCCCGGGGGTCGATCCAGCTGGTCTGCTTGGTGTTGTGGTCGATGTAGAAGACTTTGCCGTCGTAATCCCTCGCCTCCTCCCAGCCATCGGGTAAGGGAAGCTGCCCATTCCCCGCTTTCCTAGGCATGGTCGGTCGGCGGGGGTAGCTGCTCCATAGGGACAGAAAGAAAGACGGGAAGCGGGAAAAGCCCCGACCCGGGCCGGGGAAGGGGCCGGGAGCGGGGGCTCGCGGGAGCCCAGGGAAGCCCTCTGCCGGGTCTCAGTCCACCATGCCCGGGCTGCCGGCGGGTCAGGGCTGCCGGCGGAGCCCAGCTGCCGTCTGGGCGCGGGGAGCCCGGCTGAGCCCCGGGCGGCCGCGGCCGCCGCTCATTAGCATGAGATTAGCATCCATCTCATCTGCATGCACATTCCTCCCGCCGCATTCCTCAGGGTTAACCCTGGCCGCGCTGCCCGCCGGGCTGGGCCGGGCAGGCCCGGCCGCGGATCCGGCGCGGAAGCGTCCGGCGGGGCAGCGCGTAGGGCCGGACGGCGGGCAGGAACGGGGGAAAGGCTGCGAGAGGGGCCCGCCTGTTTCCATCGAGCTTTGCTCGGGGGCTCGGCCGGCGTGGGGGCAGGAGACAGCCCCCCGCTGGGGACGGGCGGTTCCGGGCGCTCCGGCCGCGTCCCCGCAGCCCCGGCCCCGCGGTCACCGCCGCCCCGCGGGGAACAGCAGCGGCCCGGCATGAGGGACACACCGCGCGTCCCATTCTTTGTCTGCCAACTTGCTGCGGCCCTGCATCGGGTGGCGCAGGAGGCTTTGTCGCGGGGCACGTCCTGGCCCTCGGAGCGCGGGGAACGTGCCCCGGGAAAAGGCAGCTTTGCCGCTGCCTCCATGCCCGAAGTCGGGACGGTGTCGAGTTCCCTCTCCCAGCCGTTCAGGTTCCGCCAACCTCCCTTCGCATCCTTGTGAACTCTTGCTAAAGTCCAGTAAAGTTCAAGGGTTCCTGAAAAGGACCTTGATATTTAAAATAACTGAGTTAAAAATTTAAATACAAATAGGAACCCCTCTTTCACCATGGAAGTACCTAAACTAAGTGTCTTTAATTTTGTTTTTGTGTTTGTTGGTTTGGGGTTTTTTTTAACAGAACCACCAGTGAAGCATATGTGTGCGCCGTGGGTGCCCTGGACTTGTGGCCTGAAAAACAAGCAGCTAAGTCGCATTAAGTATAGACGCCAGGTGTGAGTTACTGAGTGTTTATCTCTCATTTGCCATAGGAGAAGAGTACCCCAAGCTGGTTACCATGGTTCAGCTGATAGAAGGTAATTTAATGAGCTCTATTAATTTGCATGTGTATCTGATTCCAAGATCTGGCACCAGAAGTAGAGCATCAGTGGGGGAATATGACTCTTTAGGTTGGCAGCTGGAACTCCTAGGTAACTTAAGTCCCTGTTTCCTAGAATGTTTTATTTCTTTTTATTTAAAGTTACTGGTTTTAAGTAACAAGATTTTCCTGGGAGAGGGAGTCTCAAACCCAGAGCTGGTTTTGTGGTGGTTTTTTTTTGTTTGCTTGTTTTTTTGTTGGCTTTTTGTTTTGTTTTTTGGGGTTTGTTTTGGTTTTGGTTTTTTTTTTTTTTTTTTTTTTTTGTTATTGTTGTTGTTTTTTTAGGTTTTTTATTTGTTTGTTTTTGGGGTTTTTTTAATGTCTGTTTATCTTCTCCATTATAGCTTTCTAGTATTCAGCTCTATAAATTATTCTTCTGGGGCAATACACACTTATTAAGTACTGGACTTATTCTGTGCATAGCAAGTTTTTGGATTCCACTTCAGAGGCCACATATCTGACAAGCACTGAAGTAACTCATTTGCAGCTATCTACTGTTGGGTCTGCTCCTAAATAGAAAAATGTACCAGCAAGATATTTTTTAAATTTAGCTAATTGCCAGTCTGGTACAGATAAGATCTGCATTATTTTAGTCATTCTACTTATTTTATTCTGCAGTCTTGTCTCCAAATGACCCATATGCCTCCCTCCTCCAGACTTTTTTGAAGATTTTGACGTCTAAGGTAATGTGCAGTGAAACTGTACTTTGTACGTGAAGTCAGGTCCTGGTAGTTACCAGTGGAGAAAAACTGAGCTGTGCTAACTTCTAGATATCCATAAGAGTTGAGCTGCTTAGGGAATGCAGCAGGATTATTGCCTATTAAAGAGACAGGTGCATTTCTTTTCATTGAGAATATTGTTTCAATGAGCTTTTTGGCTTGTAAGGGCTTGTTTTCTTGTCCATCAGTAAAAAACCATCCCCACATTTACCAAGCATTTAGTTTGTGTCCTTTTAAACAGTCTACTCAATTTTATAATTTGTTTATAGGAGTTGCCCTATAGTGAGAAATTACATATGGCAGTTGCGGGACAGGATAAACTGAATTTCTTTTTCTGTTTTAAAGTTCATTTTGCATTATCAGTAAGACATTTCATTACGTAAGTTGATACAAATCTATAGAGGATATACATTTCTTTCTGAAACCAACTGCCAGTTATATTTGGCATTAACCAGGAGCTTTTATAACAATATAGCCTTTTTCATCTTGAAAAAATAGGCCTGTTATACAGCAGCACTCCTGTACTCCTAGTCCCTCAATAATTCACACAAAAGGAAGAATAAAAGTAGAAAATCTGTAATACCAAGACAAAACTGGAACATCATTTGTGTCAATACTTCCTCTGAAGGTGGTCACAACACCTGAGGGAATGCTCAGTTCCTACTCCCTGTCACCCCCAAGGCAAGCAGACCCACATCTTTGATTATTGGTCAGATGAGATCCACATGGATGTGGATCTGAGTTATAACCATCTCTACCTATGTAATACTTCTCATAAGAAGACAGCAATATTTTAATTCTCATAAATAAATGGAAATTGTAGTTCTTAAATAAATGGAAATGAATACACTGAAGTCATTGCATAATTGTCTAATTTTTATGTATATGCTTGTGTGTCTATATACAGATGTGCTTACACTGAAGTATAAATTGTTGCATGGTGTTAGGCTCTCCCTTTCCTCCCTCTATTTTCCATTATTTGAGTACTTCACTGTGTTTCCATCCATTGGTAGAGTCTACAGTCCAAAATGCCAGTTTAGGACTACTTAAGCATGACAGTGCTTGACATCAGATGGACAAAAAGTAGGTGTTATTTGTGTAAACAGACCTTTAATATTGCCAGTGAGAACATATGGCTTTTTGAAGGTATTTTTTGAAGTATACCTCCTGTATTTCAACTGATAACCTGCCTAGCATGTTGTGCTGACATTGTCAGCTGACAGCATACCACAGATTGTTTGCCTTAATTACATAAGCCAGCATAGTTCAGAAGATGTAAGCATGCTTTATTCAAAACACAGAAGGGTTCCTATGAATGAGGTGTCCAAAAGCACAGAACAATCCAGCTATGGCATGATTTAAGTATCTGTCAGAAAATATGATAAATAAAAAGAGTTAGTCAATGTGAAAGAGCTAATCATTCCTATCTTTTGCTTTGCATATGCGTGTTTAAGTGGCTTGAAGAAATTCCCGTGGTAAGTAGTGCATAAAGAACTGAGCTAAAGGAAGTTAGAATCATAACTGTTTTGTGTTAACTAGAAGAAAAAATGTCTATGTGAAAATTGAGAACACAAGTATGGAAATGGCTGTATCCAAAGGAGGTCTTCAAAGCTCTATACTTGTATCCTGTCACATAACAAGAAACATACCCACTCCAGTCTTTGCTAATGTAGTTAATCTCCTGATACTCTCCGCTTGCTTCTTCTTTCATAATAAGGCTGTCTCTGGAATGGACTGTGATCAAATAAACCTGTGTTTGTACCTTGTCCTTCCTTAATAGGAGACTCCCTTAATTTGATGATCCACTGGAGTGTCATCCCTGATGAAATGTACAGCTGTTACAGCTCTAACTTCTACTATTCACAAATGGCTCTGAAGCAGGAGCTGCAGCAGTTTCCCTGAAAATTTCCATAGTTCAGCTTTCACTGCTTGCACACAGATTTTGAGTATAGAATGAATTGTGAAGTATGGCAACAGAATTAATTTCTAGAAGCATCTGACAAAAATATTTGAAAATATATATTGGTTACACTGGGGTTTTTTTGAACACTTAAACCACCAAATATGTTCAGTGAGTCTGACTTCTGTCACATGTAGATACTGTAGAACTCTAAAAAGTAATCAGTATTTTCAGCATTATAAATATTTGTTAATTTAATAAGGGTGAATTTTATCTGACAGCTATGTCTTCAGAGAAAAAAAGCACGCACCAAAAAATTCTCCCGTATGCAGTGAGATTTTTAGTTTTAAAAAGTGTTTTAAAAGTCCTGCAGAGAAAAACTGTATACATGCATGAGGGAGGAAAGGAGGAGGAGTGCTGCTTTTCCTGTTGTCAGCTTCTGATGCATGTATATATCTGACAGTAAAAGGTCTTTGTTTCTGGTTGAATTTATGATGAAGGTCTGCAGAATCGATGGAGCCAGATAATGTTTATGCTCATCCAGCTTTTCTTGTTATTCCAAAGCCTGCTCTATCCACTTACATACATTTGAACAGCTTGCTGCTTAGACAGTTCTACAAAGATTTCCCAGAGTATCAGTGAAAAAAGACTATGCCAGGTTCTGCTTCAAATTAATATACTAGCCCTTTTTTCCCCAGAATTTTGGCCTTTTTTTTTTTTTTTTTTTGCTTTCAGGCATGCATAGGAGAAAGTACTGAGCAATTACTTGTTTTCAGTCAAGACATACTATGAATCTGAAAGTAAGCACAGAGAATGATTTTAAATTAGTGTTAGTTTGATTAAAAGTTTAGAGTAGAAAATGAAAAGTTTAGAATGGAAATTATGTGATATGAGCTTTTCCTCAAAGTTAGCTGTGGAAATGTGAGCAATGACTTAATGGTAAAATCTTCTCAAACTCACTCCAAGCCACTCATTAAACTGACTTAGCATTCAATTCTGTTAACTCTGATTCATAATTCATACTGCTGAAATTTTTGTGGACAAAGAGAGGAGAAGATGGAGAATTTTGGTTGTTCCAAAACCCCTAGGACTGATGAGGTCCAAATTAGTGTCTGATGAATATTCCCAAAAAATTCTTGATGCAGTCTTGGTATTAAACCTCCCATAGTAACAGTCTCACTGTATCTTTTGTGTATTTCTGATACTTGTACACACATTTAGGTTTCCTATGTTTTGTCATAT